CCCCAGGTACCATGACGATGTGGTGCCGGGAGAAGCCGTCTGGAAGCTCAGTGATGTGGCACCAGTATGTGGTCAGCTGGCCGGGGATCAGGATGTCCGGGGTGCGGATCTCCATGGTGTGCGTGTCCACGGGCAAGGCCGGGATGGGGATACTGGGCTTTAACAGCTGTACCCTCTGCAGCCCCGTCTGCAGCCCCGAGGTGTTGATGGCCTCCAGCGTCCGGAACGGCTCCTCCAGGACCCCGTATACCAGGTGGACGGTGCCATCCTGCAGCCAAGACACCCAGACGCCCCAGAGCTGGGCTCCTTGGCACCCGGGGCCGGCCTGGCCCCTGCCCGCCTCACCTGGCGGGTGACACGCCCGGTTCGTGTCTCTGCGAGGCAGGGGTGTCTTTGAGGCTCCCCAAGGACCCGGCCGAGCCAGGCTAATCACCCCACAGCCCACAGCTTGCACCAGGCGTCACGATTCTCCTTTCCAAATACGTTCTGGCCTCGTCCTCTAGGCATCGGTTCAGCTAGCCACTGCTGGGCCAGACCAGCCGGCCCACCTCAGACATCTGTCCCCTCCACCGCCCCCAGGGTCACCGGGGACAAGCTGTGGGTCATCACCTCCGGTCCCGTGAACAGCTCAGCGTGAGGAGTCAGCGCCCCCACGAAGAGAAACAGACCAACTCGAGGCTTTGCGACAGAAACATTGGACTTGGAGAGCCGTGCCGTCCCGCTGGTCCTGGACAGTGCAGACGCGGGAAGCTCCAGGCAGCACCGTGCCAGAGGTCACAGACAGACCCCAGGAGGCAGGGATCTGGGCTTGACCTCCTCCCACCAGCTGCCACGAACGCAAGCCTGTCACCACACGTGGCCTTCCGTGGTCTTCTGGGCGCCGGTGGGTGTTTTTGTGGGTTTGTATTCCTGACGGGTGGCCGATTTGCTCCCTGAGTTTGCAGCCACCGAAACCTGGGGCCCCTGTGAGCTGCTCTCGCCAAAGAGCGTATCAGAGCTCCGGGCAGGAGACCCCCCAACACCCAGCCCCGAAGCTCTGAGCTGAGTGCACGTGCACATCAGATGACACCCTGCAAAGTGCTTGGACAGGGTCCGCCTGTCCTTGTGTCGTCCGTGGGGAAGGCGGGTCAGGAGCGTGAGGACCCTGTGACCTGCTGGAAGGACACGGAGGGCCCAGCTCTGTCCCACCATGCCGTGGGGCCCTGGGCAACTCCTTCCCCTGCCTGGCCTCAGTTTCCTTGTCTGGCACACAGACAGCCGGTCACTGCCGTAACGTAAAGTTTACACAAGGTGACCGAGGTCAAAGGGCGCTGGGGAAAATTCAAAGAATTTTGTCTTCAAGGCCAAGCGGGGTTGCTTTTCTGCAGTGGGTGTGTTGGAGCCGCATGAGAAGCCTATGGTGTTTCTGGATCCACCGTGGCTCTGAGCTCCTGGGCAGAGCTGGTGGGGTCTTAGAGGCCAGCCTGCTCTCTCCCCTCCCCCACACTTCACACACAGGTAAACCGAGGACGTCTGGGGGAGGGAGGGACCGGCCCCAAGCCTCACAGCCCGTCGGCAACAGGGCAGGTTGGGAAACCAGGTCTCCTGGGCTCTTTCCAGAATTCCACCTGAAGGTGATGGGCCAGGAGGAGAGAAAGGCAGGAGTAAGATCGTTCTGGTCCCACTTTGAGAGGCTTGGGGGCAGGACCCGCATCTACAACCCTGTTGGCTGTGTGTCAGCCAGGAATACTTCCTGAAGGGGTCAGAGGCTGATAACAGCGCTGGTCTCTTGTCCCCTCCCAGCCGCCTCGGAGATCCTTCCCTGGCTGTCTCTCTGCACGCTGCCCCAGGATGCGGGAATGCTCCACGATCTCCTGAGCACGTGGGGCCACCACCTACCTCAATGAGGTAATCCTTGGGGTCACAGGTGTCAAAGGGCCTCTTGAAGATCAGGCTCAGGCCTTCCGGGGTTCTCCGCGTCCTCAGCAGCTGGTAATCCTGCCGGGAATCCAGGTGGATCTGTCCCCTCTGGTCACTCCAGGCGTCCTGCAGAGACAAGGACCGACCCTGAACACAGGGGCTGAGCGGGAGGGCTAGAGCTCAAGGTTGGTTGCCCACAGTGTGGATCCCAGGGGTCCTCCTGGGTCTGGCGGGGGGGGGTAACTCCCACTTTGTGCGTCTGCCTAGAGATAGCAAAGTCCACTCACTTCCTCTGCGCCTTGAAGCAGGGCTCTCAAATCCAGCCGGGACTCGGGGCGGCTGGTTAGGGACAGGGAGGTCTCCCCGCGGACCTCTGAGACCCCAGGGGACGGGGAGAGGGAGGATGAAGACTCGGGCCTCGGACACCCCAGTGCAACGTGACGGTGTGCCCGCAGAAGCCATCCCAAGCCAGAGTCTCAAACCTCTGGGTACACCCAGGAATCTATTGCTAAGAAGGCACCATGATTGGTGATGGGTGTCTGGGACACATACCGTCCCCCCTACCCGTCTGCAGAGGGAGGGGCACAACAGCACGTGGAGACTGGGTCAGATGGGGGAGGCGAGGAAGAAACCCGCCGCGGGGGTTCAAGTGGCTCTCTCCTCCCGTGCCCTCCCTGACCTCACGCACCCCTGAGAGCGAGCACCCCTTCACTCACCGTGCCCCAGGCTTCTCACTCCCCTCGCCCAGCCCTGACCTTGCCTGGAGAGAGTAAACCGAGGCCCAGGGAGGAAATAGGCCTGCGGCATTTTGCCCGGGCATTAGTGGGTGGCTGATCTGACCGAGCCCTGCCCTCCCCTCCCCGCACCGGCCAAAGGCCTCTGTTCCCATTCGGGAACACCACGAGCCCTTGGCCTTGGGATTTTGTTTTTAACCAACTGTGTCCCCAAACATGTTTGCTCCATTTCCTTGAGAAGAAAAAGAAACCTGCAGAGAATTTTGCAACACTTCCCCTAGAGAAAAGCCCCACAGCGAAGCTCCTGCTAAGAGACGCTACTAATTTGCAGGCCTAATTTAAAAAGCAGAGGCAGAAAGTTAGCGTACGAGAGTTCGGCTGGAAATCTAGAACGTATTTGTTGAACGTACGGCTAACGGAGGAAAAACAAGTCTGGCATTTGTTTGCACAGGAGTTTGTTGTGCAAATTAATCTTGCAGTGTGCGGGGGTGGGGGGGGCACCCAGGCTCTCTTGGCAGCTGGCATCGCTGCCCCTCAAGGAGCTCTCGCACTCCTGATCCGGGGGCCCGGCTACTGCCGTTCAGAGCTGGGGCTGCCCCAGGTCTTTCTTGGCCGTGACCCCTCCCCGGGGCCACCGAGCATCCTTACGGCGAGCAGACAGTGCAGCCCAGCAAACCAGATCTGGGCCCCAACCGGGCAACTGCACTCCATTCTGCCTGGGAGGCCCCTGCAGGTTCCACCACTTAAACGGATTAAGAAAAACCCTCTGCTCACAAAGACCTTAAAAAAAAGGTTGCGGGGGACACCTGGGTGGCTCAGTCGCTTGAGCGTCCGACTTCGGCTCCGGTCACGATCTCACGGTCCGTGGGTTCGAGCCCCGCGTCGGGCTCTGTGCCGACGGCTCGGAGCCCGGAGCCCGCTTCCGATTCTGTGTCTCCCTCTCTCTCTGACTCCACCCTGCTCACGCTCTGTCTCCATCTCTGCTCCTCCCCTATTCGTGCTCTGTCTC